AATGATATATCAGACAAAAAAATGCAATTTAATTTTGCTGTAGCGTAGCGCTTTAAACTTTCGGGTCATGCGCTTGCACCGCCCTCTTGCGACCATTATATTACCATTAATATTAAGTACGTGCGATGTATTTATTTACGTTGTCTGCTTGTTTATGTTTGCATTCGAGGCAAGCTTGCAACTTGGACAGGTAACAGTTGTCTATTATAGAATTCGAGTAGTCTTAATTTTTCATTTTAAGTAAAACGACTATGCTGACGAGTTGAAGTTAACAAATACATAAGATGAATGCAAGAGTGCGCTGCGAGCGCAGAGCAAAACATGTAAACATTTGAAAGGGGCCGTAAAAGTCGAACTTTCGTGCGCAAAAACACGCATGAAAGTCTATACTTTCGGCCATAGGATACAGAAAAATTGTATACATCACGTGGCACGAAAGTTGAATTTCCGAGCGTGCGGGTTATGACGCCGAGGCGAAGCCGATGTGATGTAATCTACTATTTAAGGCTCCTCTATACAGACGGACAAATACCGACATACCGATATTATTTTGTACCCATTTTTTTTTATTCTCTAGACAACCGTTGAACTTGAAACTTCGTGGGAGTGATTATGAAACTGATAAAAATGTGCCTCTGGAGCCAGTTTTCAATAAAATGTTTAATAAAATAATTTTAACTAATTGTTTGAGAATACGTTACTTTTGAGGTTATAAAAGGGGGATAATAGAACATCAAGCTTGTTTGAAAGTAGCGGTCATTTAATTGAAAACTGGCTCCAGAGGCACATTTTTATAAGTTTCATAATCACTCCCACAAAGTTTCAAGTTCAATGGTTGACCAGAGAATAAAAAAAATGGGTACAAAATAATTACGTACTTGTTATCGACTGAGTGTGTATAGAGAGCCCTTAATGAATGAAAACAATCGATTCTGAGTTCAGGACAGGTCACGGAGGGGACATTTTGTGTGTTTATCCGGCTGGCAAATCAATGTGGCCTTTTTTTATGGAAATTTTATAGTTTCAGTAGGTAAAATTCGGTCAAATAAAAGGTTCTACCATCTTAGTTTTCATTTTTTTAAAGTTTTCAAATAGCTACAATAACAAAACATGTCATATCACGCTTTTGAAATAATGCACCATATACGTTGTCGGCGCATTTACATATAAATAATAATAAGGTGCGGTGCGCGAGTGGGTCTAAAGCTCCCCGGCCTCACATGGCGCAAACTGCTCTCGTGAGTTGCAGTGTGTATAATACAATATCGCATCATCCTCCTTCACCTTCTCGTCGTCATTATCATCGTCGTCATTGGGCTTCATATGTGTGTTGTTTGTGTACGTTAGTATGAGTATATGAGGCGGTGGCAGACACAGCAACAGCAGCAGCTAACAACCATGTATAATTCCTGAGCCGAATCACTCGAGACGCGAACGCGAGAGTAAATTAGGCCAAACAAACCCCACGTATAACTGAGATACAGGTACCCATCCACGTATACATATACTATACTATAACGTAGGTAACCGAGCTTTTACGCTAAACTATATAATATCGTTGATGCATTTTCTAAAGTGAAAGCGAGTAAGAGAGAGAAGCGCTTTTGCGAATCGTCTGAATATTACATGTGTTTATGCGAAAGCAACGCGTGTACCACCACCACCGACACACGTGCGCGATATATGTTATATGTACTCATGAGTCAACGCTAATAATTCATCGCGCTTGGCGTGGAAAACATTTATTATGATATACGTTGTTATACGATATAATCAAGAGGTGCGGTAGCACCAAGCCGGCAAAGTAAAAAGAAATATATAAAAATATTTAGGCAAAAAAATATTTATACAAAACAAATTATTAATAATATTTTATAAAATTATGTTTATAAAAAATATGATCATTAAAATAAGTTACCACCAGATAGGTATCATTCGATAAGGAATCGAAAATAATGAACCCATGCAAATTTTAAGATAATTTGGTGCATTGGATAAATAGATATAACCTTCCAAATTTTTTACAAGATGCAAGATTTCGAAAGTTCTAACTCTACACTGAAAAAATTTTGCACTGAATAATAGATCTCTACAGCGTGAATGTATCTTATATTCATCAAATGAACAACTATTTATGACACAGTGAACACAAAACAGTATACTAATATTTTGAAGGGAATCATTTGTCACTGTGACAAGAATTTGGCTTCACGCGTGACGGTATATTGCGATATCGACAATGCACATGTCAGAACCACCGTAAAGCCAACGCTTGAAATCGATTACGGCTACGCATGGCACTATTTATTAGCTGGCTGGCTATAACATATATGTATACAAAACGGATAAATTAATTTTTTTCCGTGTAAACTTATTAGAAACTATCATTTGATACACATATTCATGCTTATGAAGTCATTGAAACAAATCGCCACACTTATGTAGAGGTTCAATCACTAACCAAAACTTCACCATTGTTATTTGTTGAACTAGTTAATAATAATGATGTTGTTACTAGGCATAACTGATAAGCGATATTTTTGTTACCTTTGTAAATAATATTGATAAGTACAATAAATCACGACTATTTTACTGCAATATTTTATAAATCTTTTTTTTTTAAATAACAAAGTTTTTACAATATTTTCGAATATTATAAAGAAAATAGGCTCGTTTATGTAAGATTTTACTTAAATATAGTCCAATCGTCGAATCGACAACAAAAAGTGCTTGATAATCGCGTTCACCGTGAACCTAAATCCCTGACACCATCGTCGTGAACTTTTTACAAGTTATAGTCCAATATAGTCCAATCGCCCCGACAACATGAAGTGCTTGATAATCGCGTTCACCGTGAACCTAAATTCCTGTCACAGTAGCCGTGAACTTTCTTCAAGTTAACTGGTGAATATAAAGTTAAGACACTATAGTGTGATATCAATAAAAGACCACAGGTGAACACGAATTCAGTGCAAAATTTTTTCAGTGTACTCTAATAATTCACTCTTAGAATTTTCAATTTCCCGGAAAATTCTTCTTCTAAATTGATAATTGACTAAAGTACCGTTTTAAGGTAATGCTTCAAATGGTCGTTTTCATGTCAGCCACGAGATCTCAGCGAAAAAATTTTTATAGCACTGCGTGGCATAAGTTCACATCTATGGCACGCTTTTCGGTGGCATAAGTCGCACATTCTGGCACCGCTGCGTTCGCATCACACTCACATACGCTCGTGCGCTAACCTCACTTCGCGCTACCAGAAAGTGCGACCCATGGCTCGGAAAAGGGGGCATAAATGTGAACTTTGCACAGTACTATAAAATGTTGTTCGATACTCGGGCCATAGGGGACACTTTTCGGCCCAGCTAAACTACGCCGTGCCAAAAAGTGTTACTTATGGCACTTGTATCGAAAATTACTATTATAGCACTGTGTGGTTCAAGTTTACATTTATGGCACGCTTTTCTGTTGCATAAGTCGCACATTCTGGCACCGCTGCGTTCGCATCACACTCGCATAGGCTCGTGCGCTAACCTCACTTCGAGCTACCAGAAGTGCGTCTCATGGTCATCAAAGGGCGCATAAATGTGAACTTAGCACAGTGCTATAAAATGTTGTACGATTCTCGTGACATAGGGGAAACTTTTCGGCCCAGCTAAACTACGCCGTGCCAAAAAGTGCTACTTATGGCCCTCGTATCGAAAACTACTATTATCAAAATTTTGTATCATGATTCGGAAAGGTCTTCAACCATACTACAATAGTTCACTCTCAGAATTTTCACTTTTCAAACCAATTCAAATTCCTTATCGATTATTAACTCATGTGTCATTTTTGCGAAAATGTTCAATCTTATGAATAATTTTCGCATTGATTTTAGACACGAGATATTAAGAGGAGTCATACACCAATTCAATCCTCTTTGACATTTTTGTGATATAAATCAAAGTTTAATGTCAATCTACATTTTCAACATAAAATTGACAACTTCGAGACCTACAAAATGTGGAAAAAGTTTTAGAATAGGCCTTTACATCTAAAAATAGTTAATTTTTGCTAGTTTAGCCTTTCGACACAATACGCAAGGTTCAGATCAAAGTTTTTCAAGTGGGGATAAAAATCTTCAAAGAAGTCTCTTTTATGGGCTGAGTGTTCTGGAATTTTGATGTAGACCTTCATATCAGTTCTATTATTCAATATGTGCTCAGAAACATGAATAAATATTCCTATTTTTTTCTTTTTTTTACATTGGCGTACAAACTGTTTTATAACTCTAATTAAAATTACAGAAAACTCAGTCCATATAGGGTACTTTACGATTTTGTGCCAAAATAAGCTATTTTTAAATTTAAAGGCCTATTCGACGACTTTTTCCACATTTTTTAGATCTCAAAGTTGTCAATGTTGTGTTGAAAATGTAGATTGACATTAATCTTTGATTTATATCACAAAAATGCCAAAGAGGATTGAATTGGTGTATGACTACCCTCAACGAGGTCTGCTCGTCGGGATTCTTCAGCGGGAATCCACACTAGTGCCATGACGCCGCCCGCCAAAAACCATTGCTTAGCCAATTGCGCAGTGTACTCGCGCATTCATAGATTACTCAAAATCTGAACATATATCTTTTGAAAAATGTATTAGAACGAAATGTGTGCATAATTAATTGCTTTTTATAAAGTGTTAGAATTTTACACAATTTGGTTTCATATAAAAAAAAAGTTATGAAAATATAAAATAAATATGATGCGTAAGATTAATTTTGTCAATTACAAACGTGACACTAATTTAGCCGATAACGTAGGAATTTGTGATCGAGGATTGATATGACTCAAGTATGAGTAAATAGGAGATCGATTATGATTGCAGGTGAAAAAATTATGATATGAAGTGGCTGTATTGCACCTTCAAAAAATAATTGAATGTACTTCTTTGACGATTATTTTGAGGTTTTATTATTAATTATAATGGAATAAACATTACAATGAATCGGTCACGTTGATATTGAAATTCTGTTGTTGCTAATAAAAGTTCTTCTATATTATCATCAAGAATACAATTCTTTGCCGGAATTCAAACTTATTTAAAAGTTATTTACTCGGGCCACGCCCGATTGCGCACTGTGTTATAATTTTCTCATTAAAATTTTATTCATCATTATCATCAAACTTTTCATTAAAGGAGGCTGTAGCGAAAACAAAAAAAATTTTATATCGAAGTAAAATTTTAACCAATGTTAGTTTAAGAAATTACGGATAAGATTTAAAAAAAAGAATGGATTCAAACGTAGGAAATAATGAGATTTAAATTTTTGGCCTTTTAGCATTAGATATTATGACAAGTGTCAGTTTTTCGTGAACTGTGAACTCAAATTACTTTACAAGTTAATGAAATCATTATATGTTGTGGGAAATTTCATTAGCTTTCGAATGATATAATAAAAAATGTGTGTTTACAGGCACATAAAAAAGTTATGAATTTTTTAAAAATCCGTAGCCGTACCGAGTCACACGACACGAACGGTAAGGCTCTGCATCTAAGCATGTTATAGCTGTAGCAGACGCTGCTGTGTATTGTGTGCCGCGCAACGTACCGCGACGCAGTGCAACGCAAATGCACCTTAAGTCGCTACAGCCCCCTTAAACTTCAATTTATTATTCTATTACTAGTGCTTGTAAGGATCATATGCTTTTTTTCTTGTTACGAAATATTTTCAAAAGCTTCCAGCCCAAAGCAATTCGAAAAGAATCGTAGATAATTGTATTGATCTTCTGTCCATGCTATGCAGGCAGTGCTCAGGCAATACCTGCCCAGATCGTCTTTGAAAATTTTATCGGAACTGTAATCACTATGACTGCACTTTGGACTAGGATCCACGAATTGCTTCAATTTTCCATCCAGACCGATTTTCACGAGGTACTTTCCAATGCTGGGATAATAAATATCAGACGTGAATATGTTCATCAGAAATCCTTCGCCCATCGGCAAATTGTAGATGGCTGGTCGTCTTCCATTCCTTTTGACGTTACTGACTGAAAACCAGTTGATCTCTTTATCCCCGAGTTTGAACTGGGTGCATTTCATGGTTGTATCTTTGAGCATGTCTTGGGCACATATGCCGATCAATCCATTGTCCAAAGAGACAACGGGATAATTCACACTTTTGATATGAGTTAAATTCTGTCTTTGACCTAGAAGCGTGAAAAATGTCTCATTAGTGTTAATTTAAATCTCGAAAATCAAAACACATTTCTTTATCAATTACCGTTTGGCTGAATAAGAGCTACTGTCATCAAGCTTTCCATGGAATGGGATACTTCCATCAGCAAATAGCCCTGGTCCTTTGACAATGGAAAGATTGTCGCTAGGTGGCCTAAGTAAGTTGGGTAAGTGAGCCACTTACCGACCTTCGAAGCAATTCCTTCCGCATTGATCGAAGATTTATTAACGCTCATCTTATCAAATGAAAAAACCTCAAAATCATCTTCTCCTTTGATATAATTGTCGCTGAGAGACTCATAAAAAACTAAATCATTAGGAATCCATTTATCAAGTTGATCAAGATCTTCCGAAAGTTTGGTCGTTTTGACGGTACAATCGGAAAAATTGACGATGCTGAAACGCAAGTGGGACGTCACGTTCGTTTTCTGTCCGGGTTTCTCCAACCATTTCAAGATCGCTCGATCTTTACCCAAAGAAGTGATACTGTAGTCACGCGAAGTGATAAAGTTACCGGACTCGGAGTGCAGCGTGACGTTGCACTCGTCCACTTTTGGGCTGGCTCCCCAAAAATTCGCACGTACTCGACGAATAATACACTTCTTCTGCGTGGTCTCGCTGTGTCTATCGCACGCGCCGTAATAGACAGTTGTATTTTCGATGAAATTCTCACTGTACACTATTTCAATTTTATCATTTTCTGGATAATACGATAATTCAGTTCGATTAGTGGGAACCGCAGGCGAAACCGAACCGAGTATTATCGGAAATATTAGGCCGTTCAGAGCAATGACGACTGCGTTGAAGATTCCAAATGTCGTCATCGTTGTCGATATTATATGTGCTGGTCTTAACTCGTTGCTAACCAAAACCGTACTGAGCTCTTACTTTTTTTCGTCTTGATTTGATACTCATAGCAGCGCAAATAACCCGCATGTTTGATTATGAAAGTGAGTCACGAACGAAACGATAATGATACTTGATAGTTGATATTTTTTGAAAAACTAACTTATCAGTGTTAGTAGTGGGTATATATTACAGACAAGAGGTTTTTTCAACTACATATTATGTAAAATAATTACGGTTTTCTGTGATTTTATATACATATATCAATCATAAGAGTAGGTATTATCCATATCTAATACATGGAACTTCTCAGATTATTTAGCTCATTTGCTCATCGCCAAAAGATACATTTTTCAATAAGTTTTGTTCAAAACTTTACTAAAGAGAAACTTTTTTCACTGAAAATGATTGTTTAGGGTAAAAGCAATGAAGTCATTGCGACATCTTCTTATACGCACTCATACGTATGTAGCGTTTTGCTGAAAAGCAAATCTATTTTTCGGCATTCTTTACAAAGATAACTTAAATATGGTACTCATCAAATAAGGAACACTTTCTGTAACGGGTGTTTGTGTCATTACTTACGTCAGCTATATAATGAAAGTGATAAAATATTTAGTAAGAATGTGTAGTGGCGCGCAAGTTTGAGAGTAATGATTAGAGCAAATTATGACCAACGCTCTTATCTTTTGATAACCTTAGTGGGCAAAATACGATTACGATTATTTTTTAAAATTTTTTGAATTAAAAAAAAATTTCGATTATGTGTACAAATATTGGACACATTTTACTCGTGTACAGAAATACCCGTGTACAAGTTTCATGTGTACGAATGATACCTAACCCCTTAGAGTGTTGGTTAATATGATATAACAGTCTCTTAATAGCCATGAATAATTTAAATTACACTCCGCATTAGACTCGAGGCACAATTCAACACTAGTCCGGATAATATAAAATCGCGGTACAAAGTGACGTAAGCTCTGCACACGCGGGTCGTCAATATATAACTTGAGATTTTGCATAATTTTGGAGAGAAAGTACCTTTCAACGCCTGACCGTCCATGAGCACCTGATAACAGACATTGCGAATTTTTTGCGGATTGCTAAGTTTATTGTTTTTCTCGCTAAACCCTCATCGCCTCATCTTGACCACGATTTTCATCGATGTATTGATTTGCGTGTCTAATTCACACCTTATAACTTATAAGAAGCATCCGCACACAGAACTTTCGCATTCTCCGTTATGTCATTTTATCATACCTGATTTTTATAACTGTTTATAACAAATTAAGGACGACGTAGCACTTACATCTAGCCCGCGCCAAAAAGTATCGCGTCATGAGGTTAGGGTGACATAATTTACAATAATATACATGCACTTATTCAAATGATCATTATGATTTCGTCTTATTACATGACCACAGAGGTACGCATGTCACTGGTTTGTGCTCATTAAAGAGTCATTGAAAATTCCTAAGCCATGGACTTGCCCGGATATATTACAATCCCTTCACGATTTGTGGATGTGCGGTTGCCAAAGCGCATAATTATAAGAGTCAATAAACTCTCTGTATAAGGCTCGTATACCTTATATACGATATTAATCATTTCAAGGGTTCACATACAAAGCTATAAACTAGGCAAGGTATAATTCCAATCATCGATACAAAATAGGCAGCAGCAATACAGCAGCAGCAATATAGCAGCGGTAGCAAGAACGACGACAACAACACGCGTATAATCGAATGCTTGCAGGATCGATGCAATTCGCAAAGAGAGTCTGCGATTGTCACCAAGGTCTATGTGTATAAACGCCGTTACACAAGTCGTGGGCGGCTCCATAATACGTGCGGAGCTTTGATTTTGCGAGCGAAAATGCGTATACCATATTATTATACCGTATGCTGCAACGGGGCGAGCCTACAGCAGCTTTTGACCTTTGTGTTCGGTATAAATTTTCACGTCGGCGATGTAAGCGATTTGTTATACATATTCCGATGAATGTCAACTTATAAATATCGTAAAATGTATACGAAAGAAACGAAAAATATTGCCCATAAATTTTATGATGCGCCATAACGTAGTATACGAGGGACTGTACATCACATGCACATGTAAAACATTCCACCATTTAGCTGCCAAATTTTCGGTTGAAAACTGATCAAACCTTTTTTAATGTTACAATAATAAAATATGAACGTTCTCGGTCACATAATAAGCATGAAGTCTGTAGGTACAGACAATTTATATTCATGGTCTAAATATTATAAAATTACGAAATATAAACAAATAAATCCGTGTCTTAATTTAAAACTATATAAACATAAACAATCTTCACATCGTTCCTTTATAACTGGAAATATTTCAAGCCAAACAAATTAGTACGAGTACCGTCATTGACGTTCAAACAAGACGTAACATCAAAAAGTAAATTTTACTGATTCCATTTTCGTGTACAAAATAGAAGAATCCATTATTCAATTTAGGTACCAGAATGGATGAAAGTGAAAGGGAAACAAGGACAATTGTCTCTAAATATAACTTTAGTGATCAACAAGACATTGTTGCTCCAAATGACCCAGAACGCGTTGCTATTATTTGTCTGGAGACATTTACACAAAAGTCAAGAACGACTAGACACCGAAACGCAATTCACAATAACCGGAAAGATTGGGCATGCGACAAGTGTGACAAGAAATTTGAACAAAAATCGAAATTGATAAGGCATCAAAGGACAGTACACGAAGGTCGCAGAGATTACGCATGCGACAAATGTGAGAAAAAATTTACACAAAAACATAGTTTGCTCACCCATCAAAAAACAGTGCACGAAGGTCGCAGTGACGATGCATGTGACAAGTGCGAAAAAAAATTTAGGAATCAATACAATCTGATTAGGCACAAAAAATCAGTTCACGAAGGTCGCAAAGATTATGCATGTAACAATTGCAAATTGACATTTGGAGAAAAATCGATATTAATCAGACACCAAAAATCAATCCACCAAGGTCGCAAAGATTATGCATGCGAGAAATGTGGCACAAAATTTGGACAAAAATCGGATTTGGTAAAGCACCAAAAGTTAGTACACGAAAGACGGAAAGATTACGCATGCGAGAAATGTGACAAGAAATTTGGACTGAAACATCATTTGCTCATGCACCAAAGGACAGTACATGAAGGTTGTAAAGATTTTGCATGCGACAAGTGCGAGAAAACATTTGGATACAAATCGCATTTGCTTGTCCATCAAAGGACAGTACATGAAGGTCGCAAAGATTTTGCATGCGACAAGTGCGAGAAGAAATTTGGGCAACGAGGCAATTTGTTCAAACACCAAAAAGCAGTCCACGAAGGTCACAAGGACGATACAAACAAAAAGCTCGAAAAAGAATATTTTACACTGTCGTCTTCGAACGTACCCGAAAAAACAGTCGAAAAAGTTCCCGGAGACAACCTATGGGACAAGTGCAATGAGTGGTACGCTCAAGTGCCCGATTTCCTCACTCTCCCCAAAAATATTTTCGCGGACGAAGAACTATAAAGTTTAAGTACGTTGTATATGCGGTGAAATTTTAGCATACCAAATCCATTTGATTAATCACTTTATGTTTGCTAACGAAGGCAAAGTTCTTAAATATTACAAGGGCGAAAAATTCATCTGACCGCGATCATAACTAAGATGTTCATAAAAAATGTGAAGGCTTTGAGTTTCAACAAGACGTGCCTAATAAAAATTTTGTACAAAGGAACGTTATATGACCTCGTACTTGGTACTACTGAATCCCTTAAATGTACCGAAAAATATAAATACTAGAAGTTCATTCTAGAATACATTTCATTTCGAAATATAGTGATCGTGATGACGCGACCATTACATTATATTAAATACTTGACCAATTTATAAAAATAGTTTACAATTACCAGAGCTTTTCATTATTTTCTAACATATTTCATGTATAAAGCAGCTTTGAATACATATTGATACGATTCAATTATCAATAAATTATTTTTATCAAATGAAAGTACCAATTAAAATTTCGATGGTTTTTATCTTCCTTCCTAACATTCACCTTCAAGAACAATAACCAATATTCATTGACGATCGCTCATATACTCGCAAGGTACCATGTGCAGTGGTATACACAAGCCGCGGGGAAAATATGGTGTTGTGCGCGCGCGCGACAAGCCACAGCTCGTGTACATAATCCGATTCACTTGACACCGCTGCTGCAGCTTGAGCGTATACGTACTACCCGCCATATGTATTTTTCACTTTAATATACTTATATAGCCTGCAACACTAGTCACACAGCTGTAAGCGTACTCGTACAGTAGTGTGCCTGCTTATAAACGTCGCGCGACTAGCGAAAAAAAAAAGAAGAAGAAGAAGAAAGCGAGGAAGAAGCCGTATTATGATAATAATGCGGAGTGACGAATTGCGTGGCAGCGACGTTGAATATCGTAATGTTCCACACTGCAAGTACGCGGTGTATTACAAGCATGTCGCGCGCGCGCGATCCACGAGGTGCTGCTGCTGCTGCTGCAGCACACACGAGGTGATAATGCATTAAGGCGCGCACGAGTCAATTTTCTGTGAAGATCAGACACGCGCGCGCGCATGAATATATTACGATATTCTTCTTCGTCCAAGTCTAGTCGTGCCCCGGGTGTATGGAATAATATTATAATATAAGGGCTCGGAGTCGAGCGAAAGATACGTAGAATTGCTCGGGAGAACATTTGCCATGCGATCTGCTTTATTTATCCCTCGTATATGGGGTGCTGGCATATCTATGTATATAGACACGAGTTTTCAAGGAAGTGTGTATATCCGCCACCCCGCCACTCGAGTTTATACGATTTACCAGGGTGTGGATGATTACGTAGCCTCTCCTCTCTCTCTCTCTCACTCCTGACTCGACGTTATATAGCGACGAGAGAGCGAGAGAGCTTTAATATATTTTCTTGGCTC